CGCCGACTATATGCCAAGCTACATTTTGATTTGACATAGACGAGTGCACGTGTGTTATAGTAACTTTGACCATAATGCCAACAACTGGTTATACCGAATACCGTCGTTATATTGTACAGCTTCTTTTACAGTAACTGTTTTCATTAAACAAATGAGTACAAACGATATATTTATATCTACGTTACCTACGCCGCTTCTACAATTAAAAGTGAAAGGAATTGAAATTTTAGGGTCAGTACCAGGTTCAGGTCGGAGGAGCGAAGCATCAAGGACTATTACTTGACCAAAGGGTACGATAAATGGAAACAGCATACCTAACCATAAATCTAGCAACAATTGTTGTGTGTGGAATATCCATCAACAAAAAAAAAACGTCAGACATACACCATTCCATGACTTACATGTAGTAATGTCAGGAATTTCAAAAAGTATAAGTATGAAGCGGAAGAAGCAGATTCTGTAGTCTACTTGATCTTACGTTGAGCTGGATGTGTCATTGGAATATATTCAATAAATTAAATATTGTTGATGAAGATAACATCGTATTGCATATATCTGAATAAATGACGACAGTGAGACATGCTGTAATTGAGAGCGTGTCTGCTTACAGTGACGAGTCGCATTTGCCAAGTTCGAATCTCGTATTTATATGTTCATATTTGTGCCTGTATTTGTTAATGATTATACCACTCTTGACCCATTGTTCTGGCTATACGTGTATTAATGAAAACACCGCGAGAAAGGTTGGGTATTCGGATATAATTTGGTTCGAGTATGAGGTACACTAGGCTACAATCAGAAAAATAAATCAACGACTACAAAATAGACAGTCACTGTGAAGGATGACACGTGCAAACACGAAATAAGTGTCAAACAATGTAATACCCCACAGTTTTATGTGTCACGATAGATCAAATCAGTTCAGAAGTCATCAACATCATTACTATACCATTCCAAGCACCAGTTTGTTGAAATATTACTATTATTACTTCTGAGTGTACAGTATTATGTAATTCTTGTTGTATCATACGTTACCTTCTGGTGACACAGTTGTGATAAAGTACAATAAACATATTATGTCAGTGCTTACTGCATATATCCACAACCGCTCCAGCAAAAAACACGTTGCAGTGACTTTGCAGTTTGTTTTTGCATGTTTATTATATAGTAAAATCTGTTAGACTTTTCATTAAACGTGTTTAATTACTGTTGGCTAACGGTGGTCCATCGTGTACACTGTAATATAATTTATTTTCGCTTGGAATTAATTTATAAAATATACCTCAAATTAACAGTTACAAACAAACTTCCACACAAATAAAAACAAAATGCTTCTGTTTTGAATTAAATACACGTGTTTTAAAACAAATTTGTGATGTTTGTATGTTTCATTTAAATCAATAAAGTGTTTCCGCGATTTACAGTTGTTGACGAGAGGAAACACTTCACAATGTACATGACAGTAGTGGTAAAAACTCGTCGCTGTTAACAAAAGCACTGTAACGAAAACACAATGTAATCCGTAATGTAAATATTCCGTTTATTCATCGTCTGTTTTGATATCTTTATTACAGAAACCACGCGTCGTATTAGACGCAGCGTCGTCACCAGAGATAGTGACTTCCCCCTTCGTTCCATATAAGAGATTAGCTTCTTCGACGGTTCTTGGCATCACCTTGTCCTTCGTCTCTGGCAGTAATAAAACTAGCCCCGCGGCGACCAGTGAACAGACTCCGAATATCATCATTGGTATTGCTACATTATTAGACGCCTGTAAAACGACATTATAATTTATTATACCTCGTGACCATGACAGCCAATCATATTCCCGCAATACATGTTGACAGTATATCGACATATTACGTATAGTGCATGTATTTGTTGAAATAACATCGTGCAGCTCTATTCAGTGCTCTAATGCGAAACCAGGATGTCGTGTGTCGTATATCTGCGCACAGGGTGGTGCCTGGTGTGTTTGTAAAAATGATTAATATTATAATAATAATTTATTCTAATTAATTTTAATAATTCTTTGTCAGGCTAAAGCTGCTTATTATGTTAATTTAATTTAGGCCACGATACAACTCAATAAAATTCAATCACAGCTCTTGAACTCTCTTGTATATTTGTATACGTACATTTATTCAGTTCTACGAGGATGGCCTAGAAGATTGCAAAGATTGAGTGCCATAATTTCTGTTTTAAGATTTATTCGGTATAATAATACAAATGTTCTCCCCAACAGCGGTGGACATACAGTTTTAGGGCTCTTCGGGTCGTAAAACTGTATATGTCCACCTCTGTTAGGGACATTTGTATAATGTCGTATAAAATGTTCACAGAGTTTTGACAAGTTACAACTACACGCACATACACTTTGAAGAGATGCTGAATTGTTCGGGTTACTGACATCGAGTTACAAAAAAGACCACGCCCATATTTTAGAAACCACACCCGATTTTGAGAAACCATGCCCAAATTCGGCCAAGTTACTCAAAATTAAATAGGAGTTTAGATTTCGATTTGTCCAATAAGACAACACATTGTATTAGACACCATAAGACTGACACACCTGGTACAGGTAAGTGAGACGGTGTCACGTGTACTATGTATGCGTCATAAACTGAACGTCTTTTGACGTCATAGTTAAAAAATAGACATGACGTGCACGTACCACGTAAGTCGTCAGTGGAGCGATTATCCCACCTATGCTGCTGAAAACAGCCCCCATGGCGAAACCCATGCTTCTGTATGTCGAGAATAAAAAATAAAATGATTAAACTGAGTCTTCAATTAGAGCAGTACACTTTAATACAAAAACAAAATCTACATATGTATTTTTTTTTTACCTCAACAGTGTCGGGAATAGCTCCGGGGTCCAGACAACCATGGAACTAAACGCAGCTGTCACTCCAAACTTTCCGAGTAATACCAGTACAACCCGTAAAGCTACTAAACTTGTTCCTGAATCTATTCAGATAACATAAAATAGATGTTAACGTACTGCAAGTGCAGTATTAATCATCGTATAACAACACCAATTCAAAGTCGAATTTACAAAAAGCGAAATATCAAAATAACGAAAGCTAAACTTCACCTGTTTCTAGAGGTATAAAAATAACAATACTACAAGATGCGCCGCTTATAATGAGGAAAGTGAACATTGGTAAACGACGTCCCCACCTGTAATGAAACATGACTTGGTAACTACTACATTTGGAGTATCAACAACAAAAAATAAGGGCAGGCAGGCAAAAATCATAATTTTGGCTTGACTATTGAACTACATATTATGTAAGACTACGTGCCGCGTTATTGGCGTTATACATTTCTAGCCACGTGATACATCGTACAGGTAAAACAAAAAATAAATTCATGTTGCGTATACTAAAACGAAGACACTGCAGTGTGACTCACCGAACAAGGACGGGCATACAGCAGAGATTCGCCACTATTTCCACGCAGCCCGTCAGGAAAAAAAGTAAATAAACATTGCCTTTAAAATTGGTTGTGTTGTAGGAGATTCCATAATATACCAAAGCACATACAAACCTAAAGAAATACAAGAGAGATTTAAATGCATTCTGTTCTGTCACCGCGGTGTAATATAGCTGTTTATGGGGGTAACGCGGGACGATTATTCTGGAATGAAGTACTGCGTTTATTTCGGATAAAATGGGAATACATTGAGCAGACTTGAATGTGTATTTGTAATATGTATTTACCAAGTAAAACAAGTCACCGTTGTATACAGCGCCATTCTTTGTGTTCGAACCAGATCTAAATACCCGTAGATTGGATCGCCATCTTCTTTTTCTTCCTTTAAATCTTCCGATTGATATACGTCTGTTTTGTTTGACTGATTTTCTTTACTGGTGCTAATGTCTATTTCGCCACAGACACCAGTATAAATTAAGATAGCAACAGAAATGAAGTTAATGTCCTTGCGACATTAACAATATCTGTTGTAATGTTTGATTTGTATTGAATATCCATAGTCTTCGATGGATTGTGTATAAAGCGATGGTTTCACGAATCTCTAAGAAAGTATTTATCATACCTGGAACGTAGTAGCCACTCAGGATAACTGTGCTGTATGAACAATTAAAGCACGTAGAAACGAATGCATTTTCTAATAATACTCACCTGCAGTAATGTCATTTTCAGATGGCGCCGCGGCGGTCAACACATGTTCGGGTAAAGCCACATTATTTACTCTCGCCGCTGTGTATAAAACCTTCTCCGCTTCATGTGTTTGACCTTTTGATATTCTCCAACGCAGAGACTCCGGCACAACCCTGGGTTGAAAAAAAAAACGGCTTAATACTAGAACTGTTCTGTTAGGTAACGCAATCTATCGCCGAAACGCTTCCGAGTTTCTTCTTCATCTGTAAACAATTGACTGTTTTTAGATCGATTTATTTGTTTACTCTAATAAATACTGCAACAAAAATTAGACTGGATAAGACTTACCAATAATAGTAAAATGTGAGAATAGCTGGGGCGGATATAACGACCTGAAGAACTCTCCAACTGTGGTGTCGAAGTGCGTAAGCTATCGGTGCCAGCGTTGTTATTCCAAGAGCCCAGCATGTGGTGTTGAGAAACCCGGCATACGTGCGCTTGGAAGGTGGAAACATTTCGGTTGCCAAGACAAATTGAATATTAGCAACGCCCTGTGTTTTAATTCGGAAAAAAATTGAGTTAATCACGCAAGATGTCACTTACAAGAACGTCGCCATACTTACGGGTCAAGTTCCATATCATATAAGCGAAATATTTTAATTATATATTTATTTATTTTTTAATACTAGTAATAGAAATGAGAACCCACCATCAGAGGGCGATAGCTTCGCTGTCGGTTCAAAATAATTTCACATAGATGGTATTACATATACCTTGGTAGTAGGTTCATAGCACTAGTACGTGATCTCACAACATTCGATCACATGACAATAATATACACTTTACTGGCAATCGAGGAACTAAAATGAGTCATTGTTAAGCATTAAAGGGTGGCGGTCGTCGCTCTGCGTCCTGTTCGATATGGGACTCATAGCGACGTACACAACACATGTAAAATACTTTGTTTATTTACACAATTCTAACACGTGCTGTGCGACGACCATTGCCCTTTTAAAGTTATTTTTTATAGCAGACGATAACTAAGTACTTGAGGTCAATGCACGAACATACGAACATTTTTTACCCAGGTTAGGAAATCCTGGTCATTTTCATCTGACAATTTACCTATTTGCATGTTTTAACAAGTAGTTTAGTCGTGAACTTTTATGCTTAACTGTTATGAAAGCGTCTACGACGCGCCAACACATTGTCTATTTCTTTCTTCCCAAGCTACCACTATATGTTTACAATTCCAGGGTTATTATAATTGAAATAAAAGACTCCGCACTGGCCGTTATTGTGTTATAGCACAGCTCAGATCAGGACGGTTGCTTAAATAATGGCGTTTCGTTCAACTGCGTCCTTGCCCTGTCATTTAAACAATACCGAATCTCCCCTAGCGCCATGCCATTGGATGAGATGACGTTTCAATGGCAAGATAAGTTTGCTGGGGGCTCATTTCTGTTGGAATATGTTCTAAATACATTGATTGTTCAGAGTATATTTATCTGTGCAGTTGAACGTCTAAAAATATATCTACTTTTATATGCCAACGAATAAAATAGGTTCGACCAACATAGTAGGTATGAAGTTCGGAGTCAGTATGCTGCTATGATTGTCGCAGTTGCCTTGGAAACTTAGGAAACCGGATAGTAATCAATTCCGATCTTGTTATGAATACTCCGGTAACCCTACTGGAAGAACACATCTCCTGTCACAATGTTGTCTGACGCATGAAAATAAACGCCCTCTAGTGGTGGGTTCCACGAGACCAATATCCCCATAAATCTATTAACAAAACATTCCGTATAATGTGAGTTCCTGGAAACTCGATCCGTGAGCCCGTCTATACCTACCCGGACACTGTACTGAGTAATCATAGTTGAAGGAACTGAAGATTTGTACAAGTTTAGGCGTTCCTTATTCCATGCTAACTGTGGTTCTCTTCCGCGCGACGATGAACGCAATAGAGTAAAACCGATATGCAAACATATGAGATTATCTCAAAGCCCATGTAGCCCGAACACGACTAATATCGCATGTGCAATTATTACCTAAATCAACACTAGTACATTGAATATACATGTTACAGTAGTATACTAAATTTTAAAAGTTTTTTTTTTGTAATTAAAACTGCACCTGTACTAATAATCCAGTGGTGAAGCGCATGATCAAGTAACCAAGGAAAGTCTGTGTCGTTGCTATAAGGCTTCCTAAAACTGCCATAGACCATAGATTTATAAGAAAGATTGTTTTTCTGCCAAAACGATCCGACAAGTGGCCAGCAGAAAAGGCTCCGATCATCGCAGCAGCCATAAAGAGTGATTGGGATACTTGCGATAGACCTGCACGATCACACACCAAGTCCCACTACAAATAAAAACGTATAGACATGACATTCGAGAAAAAGAAACGAAAAATAAACATGTGTGTTTACCAAACAAATACATGATGCACGTGGCTGCTGTGAGACAGTGCTCCGACCTTGCACACCGGGAACCTCCAGATATGATGAAGATCTATGAATCGAGAATTTGAAAGTTGACCATTATCAAATTTGGCGAGTGATTTCGAAAGAAATTGCACAAACAAAAATCTTACAAGTAAAATGACAGACTAAATTTATTTAAAAAAAACAAACACACATTTTAAAAAGAAAAGCAAAATATGTACACCAACCATTGTCCTGAAAAGAAAATGCACAGGTAATCTTCTTTTCTACAGTTTTGAATGGTCATCCCTTGACTTTACCAGATTTTGTAACATTACATGTATGTATAAAACGTGTGCAATTTAGCTCAGATTATACCAAACGCGGATGTAATTTTATATTTTACCTCGGTTACGATGGTTTCACCAAGCTGCCAATCATAATACCAACCATCTATACATTCCATTGTACTGTTATCAACCGATGAGTTGACATACATGGAACATGAGTCATACACCGGGTCACTATCTTCATCCACGTCGATAATAGGAATAGACTCATTCAAAGAGGAGGCTTCTGGGATAGCACAGTAGTAGGTGTCCGGAACAGCGCCAGTGAAAACAATGACCATAATCTGCCACGCGCTAAAAAGATTTCCTGGGATGGTAACTAGAAGGAATATCAGAATCTGGTAGAAACCAAAATCTCCAAGTTGGATCAGAGCATCGTCGAGTTCCATTGTTGTCACAAGTACATACCGCTACAAGCACGGCAAATGTACGAGAGTTGTGATCGATATAATACTGTACATTGACCGTTGATGTGAATAGGGCATCACATGCATGAGTATCGTACATGTACATTTGAACTTTGCTTGTTGGTTTGTTTATTACAATATTAAAGAGATAGGGTGGTTTTATTGACTTTGAGGCCAAACGGTCAGACCAGCAATTCTTTTCAAAAGACGTTTAAGAAATTACGTAAATATTCTCGTGATGAGATATATCCATGCTGTATTTTTACTCGATTCGCTTGTGAAAATACCACCGCGGGATACACCTCATCACTCGAGATAATGATTTCCATACTCCACGAACGTCAGGGCGAGATCGTGGCTTTCTATCATACTTACAAAATAGACACATCGCAGCTAGATTTCAATATTTCAAAATAACCGTATAAATATTAATGAATGTATACTTTGTTTATTTGCCCGTAAAAGCACCTGTCAACGTTCACAAAGACGAAGGTCTTCATTTCTTGATAACAAGTCTTGATAGCTTAGCGGCGAGAAAGGTACAAATGTACTGACAAGCGTGGTTGGTTCAAAACTCGGTGATGGTTTTATCGGGAGATGATCCAATGTTTGACCAGGGTTCCAGTTTTTCCATAACACGTCTAAAAAGAAAAATACAATTAAATGAGACTTGAGAGTATAATTATTTATATCAGAAAAAAAAATCTTTACGGTTTAATTTACAGTGTTCAAAGAAGAGTTTGCACCTTGCTGTTTAGTGAAGAACACGACACATGGTACGTATACCATACCTGGAACCACGGTGCTTCAAAATTTCCCTGCTGTGGAGACATCATCATCATACAACACAAACCGATGGTAACATGTCATCCGAATTAAAGGCAAATGCACTTCTTGTTTCTATTTCACGAGAGCTACACATTTAGTCTAAATGATCGGATTGAATGTGATTTTGTGGAAGCATTTTTTGGGCGCTTAATCGAATTCCATGTTAACAATGTATTTTACACGTCGCATAGAGCCTATATCGAACATGACCGTGACGTTTCAACTTCTGATTTCCAGGTTTTGATTTGCTTGAGAAATAGACTATAGCCCACCGTTTAATAAAACTTCGTCCTTATCATACTTCAAGTCGTCTTTTACATATCGTTCTGCTATTGTAGCTTTAATATCTTGTAATTGTGCTGGAGTAAAGAAGAATGTCCGTGGACGTCCCGGATTGGTCACTTGCTGCACAACAAGATCGTTCACGCCAGTCGCCGCCTGTAATAGGACAATCGATATACACACACATTCAATATATCCTGACAAGGTCGCGTGAGTTTCGCCCTCCGCAGTGCTCCAAACCCAACACACAGTGGGGTCTGATGCCGTTCGGCCGGCGAGGACGCCACTCACGCCTACATGTCAGGCAACCATTCAATAAATAGGGCGGCCTTCCAGAAAATTACATCACGTTTTGGCGAGAATGTCCTCTTTATGGCATCGATGTATTACAGTCACGAATACGATTCACAACAAAACACTACCAGTAGTTGGCAGCAATTAACTACCCATTGGGAGCGTTCATCATTGTAAACGTATATTTCATTTAACAATTATTACAAATCAAATAAAACAAATACATGTCTTAAAGTTTGTATTTACCTGCTGACGCCGAGTTTTTCTTATCTCTCGGTGGCCATCCTTAACATCGGGGTCAATGACCCACACGTGGCCTTTACCATTGACTACCTTGTCGCCTTTCTTGAATATCCGATTAAGGGACAGATTGTGACGAATAGAATTCTGTTGTAGAGATAAAAGTATATTTTTATCAAAGCACATATGTAACACACAGTGCCATTAACAGTTATACATGTATAAATGTTAATATAAATTCGAATGTAACCAAATTTAGAAATGTAAATTTACTGAACGGTTGGAATAAAGTGTCTTATATAGACATTATAAGACATGATCACGTGATTTTTACCAATTTTCTGAAAAAAGCAGGCTTAAAAGTAGCCCAATAAGATCTGTGGTAGTTATTGCGCCCTCGCCGGCGGATTCCATTAAATGCATCTCTAACTCCATGTAGTGCTAGATTAGTGAGTCATTTGACGTTTGGGTGTGTGCATTAGTGCATTTAATAGCAATTCAATAATATAGCCTGACGAGGTCGCGTGAGTTGCGCCCTCCGCGGTGCTCCAAACCATGTGGTCTGATACCGTTCACGCCTTCGTGTTAAGCTATTCAATAATACTGACCTTCCAGTTGCCGCTACATTCTCCCTGGAAATACGGAAATCTAGATCTAAATATATATATGAAGTGGCATGTTACAACAACGAACATAAAAAGTTACACTTTGTCGTGTGGTGGCGCTAAATATAAGTAATATCGGTATTCACTCTTCAGTTCTTGCGAAAGCGCCTCCACACGGCCGTTCTCGAATTGCGTCTACAAATAAAATTTATGTGGAATACTTCGTAAGTAAAGAAAGTGATTCCCAAATGTGCGATTATAAATTAATACATACTGTAAGAATTCGTATATTTCACTGACGTTCAATGGTCCTTGTTCTGACAGTGCCGTATAGATCAAACCAGAAAAGCTCAGATCTGGTCGAATATGAGCAGGGTCCTCAGGAACTACGTATTGTATCTTCTTCACTGTGTTTGTTAAATTTTTCGAGGAGAGCCGATATATTGGTAACGTGGCGATGTTTTGCTTGGATGCACTACTGGCATTGTGACTGTAGTTGTTTTTATCATATGCGTTGCAAGTATAGTACGCGTCTGTTGAACCTAAACCTACATCGGGGGGAAACAGTTGAGAACAGTGAGATGACGAGTACTATAAAAGAACTATAAAAGAGTGTGTTCAAGTTTTATTGGGCAATCAGCACCGGGTATATGTATCAATATCACCATACTTACTGTTTGTTGTTGTAGTCTGCACGTAATTTGAAACACTGGCACAGTCTTCGTCAAGATTTGGCAAAGCTGAAACAAATTGTAGCGATGGCAACCAGGTGAGGCTGCACAGATCATTGTCGTTGTCCGACTGTATACTATCATCGTAATTACGGTAATCCAAGTCTTCTTCCTCCCATTCCCCCTCCGACGCATTGTCTGCGTCGTTCTGAACGGGTTCATTTATCCTCCAAATATCTTCATTAAATCCACAAAGGATGGATTCATTATGACATTCGTCCGTGCTGTCACACCGAGAAAGCGCATTTACATATTCCGACGCCGGGTATCCCCACAAGAATTGCGGATCGACCGACTCGTGTGATTGTGACGCACGTGGCACGACGATTGGATTGACCGATATTTGCTGGTTAACTCGTTGCAATGAGCTGAAATCTATATAGCTGTATGTACCTCGATTCTCCTCGAATTGCGAATGTCTATTTAAGGTCGATTGAGAGGGTTTAGGGAACATTTTGACTTTTGTATTATCGGTTGTCGGTGTTCCAAACACCGTGGGCATCAACTGGGGCACACGAGTTGTGTCTGCAACAGTCTTGTTTGGTGCCAATCGTATTAGTCTCTCAGCGGGTTCTGCTAACGATGGTTTCCACAGTTCGCCGCTGTTACTAACCAGGTTTGTATTCCCATTGGTAGAAATGCGAGGGTTGTTTCGAATAACGATGCTTACACGTTTTCCACTGGCTCGTTGTTCAGCCAACAGTTGACTGACTGTTGTTGGTAAAGACATGCGGTTCGTCAATATTATTCTCTGCCCAGAAGTTATGGAGGATGCGGGTCCCGACCTAACGAATTCACTTGCCGTATTTCGGAGCAATTGAGTGATGTCTGGTAACGACGTAGTTTCTATCTTCGCGGCCTCCAGGATTTTGAGAATAGTGAGTTCATTTTCCAGATCATTTATAACAGTGTTCGATGTGGTGGCTGATTCTTGATACGCTTTAGTATTCATCGGTCCTGTTCGCCGAGCTTCAATACATTCGTTTTTTTCGCACTGCCCGGATAATACATCACTGTCAGTTTGGTTCTTATACACACTCCCATTTTCCATCTGGCTGACAGTTGGCTTAATTTCCGGGGACTTAATTATGTGGTCATTTGCGTTGTCCACGTAACCCGTTTGATCGCCAAAGGGTGAGGCATATGTGGTACATTCTGGCGTTTTTGATGCAGCGTCCGTAAGTGCCTTTTCATTGATAGTAACTGACGTGTAGCTTGTCATACCTTCTCTTGGCTTCGCTGGACAATCAGATGACGTAGATGGCGCTGTTATGGTTCTGGGAACTGTTCTTTCATGAAGACGATCATCACCGGGATTGGGTGCGTCTTCCATATTGATAATAGTGTCGTTTGTATTTTCTTTGAGCCGAATTGTTCTCGGTATTTCAGTTGTACATGCGTCACTAATTTGTTGAGTATGTACCTGAACATGACGAGGAAACGTTTCAATGTGACCCGTTCCTATACAGTCTCCTTTCGGTCCACTGGGGACAGCATTTTGAACTTTTAACCATTCTTCCTCTGTCCGGTTTTCGACATCGGAATAATAGTTTTTAGCAATTCGAGCTGATTGTATTAATACATCCTTTCGATTCTCTTCATCGGCATGTTTGGCAATTCCGGGATCGCTGAGCCACTTTTTAGATGACACGGCGTTGTGAAGTATACTCGCCTCAGTCTCGGACACAGTCTTCTCCGCATGCATTTTCGATGCGGTGGTTGTCGTGGAAGCTATGCACGTTACTTTGCCTCTGGGCGTTCTGTATGAACCTCGCGTTTCCCTCATAATTGTCTCGATCAATCCAATAAGCTGCTGAATACATAAAATAAAGTTAAATAAATCATAAACGCGACTAACTCTGAGCGTTTTCAAACTAGTTGAAACCAAGAACCGATGCATTGTTAATGAGGCCAAAAATGAAGACCATGTCACGTTTACGACCGTTTGTGGCCTAAAGCACTCAAGTCAGGTACACCAGACTGCCATTCACAAGACTGTTTAGTAAAACATGTTTAATATTTGTCGCGAGTATTGTTTAACACACGTCAAATAATCTGAAGTCGCATCCCTTTGTTGCCCCCTGCTGTGCCTATAATACGGTCCTACGACTACATTCTGTCAGTATAAGTATTTACGATACTATCCCGTCACTGTACGTGTGTTGACGGGGGGCATGTTGTTGACTCCGCGTATATTCATCATCTAGCTATGTCTGACAGAAACGAAGGCATAAAGCTGTCACAGAGCTGTGATCTAACCCACACAAAGCCAAATCTAGTGGTCAAACGTTCAATGATCATTACTTACCAACTCGAAGTAACAAAGAAATATCTGAACTTGTCGTGGTTCCGACAGGTAGCCTATTAAATTCTTTCGAATCACGTTTCGAACCCGGCCGTTGTTCTATGTCTGAGCGTCGGGTGAGAACACGCGCGTTTCCTGTGCTATACTAATGGAAGTTTTAATATGCGCTTTCCGGAAACCGTCGTGTACGTCTGACTGAAACACGAACATACGAATAATATTAGCTGTGTTGAATAATTAAATTCATTGAAAAATATATGCAATGAAAAACACATTTGTTAAAACTCACTCAAATATTGTCAGTTGCTAATGCTCCTCGACATCAAAAAGTACCATGCAAGATACTAAATATCTTTCTTTTCATACCGAGTAAAATTTTGAGGTATCCAGAAACAGTGATTAAATTGCTCTAGAACAGACGTAACATTCTATTTCCATTCTATTTTATTAATCGATTTTCTCAACTGCAAACGGAGTACTGTAACAGTGACAATTTTTTAAAACCATTGTCTTCATTCTTGTAACTTATTATATAAAAAACGTTAAAAATAATTAAAAAAAATACATTATGTTTACTTTTGTGTAGCGTTCTACCTTAACACACACAGTGTTATTTCTACCAACTTCTCGTGTCCGGCAGACGTAATCAACGTCTACATATTTCAAAGTACACACGCATAAGTATCCCGGTAGATAATAACCTGAAGTTATATAACGTACGTAATATTTTTTCACAGTATTGAAAATAAAGACATTAGTATACAGATTATTCGTTATAATATCTGACTACCAGGGACCTGGGCGTTTTCCAGACTGTTTACTGAAATGCATGTTTTTGATAATTATATTTTTGCTGCTAATATGATCACATTATACTAGATTATATGCGGTATTCCTCTCGTTATACCAATACGCTAGCGTCATCTCTTTCTCCATATTCCCGCGCACCAAGAACATTTATTTTTTGATTCACATTATCTAAAGGTATATTCCTTTCGCTCCCATGCCGAAAACTAATAGCAGCGTTTGTTTCTTCTAGTATTATCGTTCGATATACCAAGTATTAATATGAATATGATTATTGTTACTGGCCTAAAATGTGATTTTTAAATGTTTGCTGTGTTTCTTAGATTGTATTTCAGGGTCTTCGTGGAGGGCTCTCTACATGTGGCCACAACGCCAAGGCACTATTATAATTTATTGCACTCCGGTTGTCCGACCGTATTAAATCGCTTTGTTGTTTGTATAAGTTCATTAGTACACTCGTTCGTAATCTCAGTGTGACGTCACAACCTTGGTCCGACCGCATCGTCGCTTGTCTGACTTGGTATTACCAACTTTCACTTTCCGTCGCCGATGTTCCTTTGTTCTTCTTCTCGCAAGGCATGTTGGTATGCGCTGAACTGCGCAACGATCAGTGCGCATACAGCTGTCGAACGCCATCGAAAGCTTCTGTGCTAGCTATTCAACGTTCGCCGAAAACACCACGGTTTCTTCTCCGATGTAGTGATCGTATCGTTTGATTGGTCACCTGCGATTATTCTGAGATAATTCAGGAAAGATCTTGAGCCATGGACTGGTTGATGGGGTAAGTACAACGTAATGTGGAGTGCATTTACATATAAAGAGCACTTCCGATAAAGCGATTGACTGACGATCGAGTCCCGCACTTAAAATGCTATTCCACGACAACGTCTAGTCTGACTCACAAAATTTTAAAATTATCTCTGATTTTTTATACAATTTAACTTGATTTCCTGTCCGTACAACCACGAAGCGGCTTCGTCAAATAACGCAGCGTTGTACGATGAGCAATACAGTACGTTGTGTCGATCGGTTTCATTTCAATGGTGAGACCGATCGAGTCTCAGACGTTTGATGTCATGATGATTGACAAGGGAGCGGTGCTGTGCTGCGAGTGTGTTGCCCTCTGCAATTATTCATGACAAACTCTCTATATTGATCGCATGTCATGTCGCATCTGCATCACATGAACGTCAGATACAACGTCCGTACATGCTTTCTCATGGATAGATCAACCGGGGATGTCAAATCAAACCAGGTCACCTCCAAGGGTTAACTTGGAGAATGCCAAGCAAACCGCACTAATCGGAGACACGTGACCATAATATTTACGAGTACTAAACACACCTTTTTTGCAACCTGAACAAGGTTGTCCAGAATATAGGTCTGTGATTTACTACAGTGAAATTCAAACAGCGTTTCAAAATAAATTTAAACCGATCGTATCGAAACTTTATGTAAAATATTAAAGACTATACAATGTACCACTACCACTGTATTAATTCCCTGTATACATAGCAAGCATATGTAACTACTGTAAAATACTTTATTTTAGCTGGAATAAATTTTTGCTGAAAAGTGTTCTGTATGGAATTTATTTTCACTGATTTCTGACGAGTTGAATGTAAAATATAGAAAAAAAGGTATATCAGCAAAAATAGTGAAAATTAATTCCAAGTGGAAAAAAAGTATTTTACAGTAGTATAACAGCAGTAGTCTTTTTAGAGATTGTGTCTTAAATAAATGAAATACGTCAAATTAGACATGTACCCAGACACTTACAAATTTTATCAAACTACAATCTACACATAAATCAAACATCTAATTTGTGTTTGATACACATTTATTTTTAATTTTTCATGCAAGCTTACCTCATGGCAGAAATAAGTGTTACACAAAGCGTTATTGATTTGTTTCGTCCATTGATGACACTCGAAGTAGGTCGGGCACAACAATAACATTGACAGCTACTTGGGATGATAATATATCTCATAGTAACGACTGACCGTTACTACAGACAGTAATTCACTGGGTTGTTAGGCTTGAATCTAGTGTTTATTGATGCTACAGTGTCTCAAGAAAATAGTGACCATGGTTTGAATATACCACTTGCTCTAAGCCCATGGCCTCCTTTGCATTACTCGTGCCCAATTACTGTTTGTTCAAGACTGAAGAGTACCAGTGTGCCCTATACACAAAAACCTGTGCTAGGATGTGGTGTTGTAAATAGCCTTGTCTTTGTTGTTTCCCTTGGAATATGCATGAAGGTGAATACATTGGATAAGCCATGCCACAATAAATCAGTCAGATCATAACCTAGAAACCTAGAAAGCTAAATTCCTCTTGCTATTCAACATTCCACTATAACACCTAGCTATGGTCATAATAATATTACATCATGGTCAGCTATTGACTAAAGATTTGATTGGCTGTATGAAAATGGAGTCAATGTAAACATTGTCAATTTGACAGCTGAGATCCTCAATCATCCATACTCAGTATTTAAACTGGCCAATGAGCATTGAGTAATTTATTTCTAGGACAGGCGTTAGTGGAGTAGTGTATAGCAAGTGGACTGTCGCATAGATACTTGGTCATTACGACTACAATGTGACATTACTAGCATCACAGTTAGGCTTTAGTGAAATGGTACATATCAAGTAGATTCTATGTGGCAGTAATCTGCCAGTGCCACTTAGTAAAGCGACAATCGTGCAGTAGAATACTGCCAGTAGGACAACTGTTTGATAATATTTTGCACCCTTTATGTTCTATTAATTCCCAGACAACAAAATCATGATTTTTGCTAGCACACTAGTAAATTCACACGCTTGTAAAAGAAATGGTTTAACAACTATGAATTTTTATGATATTCGGTGCATGGAACTTGCATGGCTTCCCTTTTTTGTCTGATGTTTGGTGGCACAGTTTGACTTCGGGAGAAGTCAGAAACCCGGAAACAGTCGACTACTGTGACAGGAAGGGATCATGGCTTAGAACCCTTTTTGAAAATGATTTTTTTGTTTATTTATTTTTTTTTTTTTTTTTTACAAATGTCCATCTGAGGTCAATGGAAATCAAAAACATAAATTTCACAGGCCCCTTTAATAATAAATTTGACAATTTTCTCTGAAAGTTTTAAACAGACAGTGAATTCAAAATGTAACACAGTGAGTGAGTTGTTCAATTCCAGGACATGCATTCTTACAACCAGAGGTAGCTAAAATACCAGAGATGTCAAAAACAGAATACACACTTTAATTTTATAGATGATTAGAGTTTTTGATCATTAGTACACAATTCAGGTTGACCTGTAGTCTAAAACAAGTCTCATCAATTTTCTATACATCCAAGTTTAACACAGGAAAATCCACAGAAGTGTTTGAGTGGGTCGCCCATCACTGAATATAATTACTGCCCACGCTTGATGTACATCACTGTCGGTCAGGCATAGATTTGGGTCATGCGTAAATAACTATTTTGAAGATATTTGGGATGCTCTGTGCAACTTAATTATAATTCGTTACTGAATTAATATTGTATATGTATATGTAACAATTTGTAATTGTTCTGGGTAATATAGGAACAGTCAATGTAAATGTCAGGAAGGTGAGTGGAATGGATGTGTTTAACAAGAAACTCAATGATACTAAAACTTCTTAAAACTTCATGACCTGAGGCATTTTAGGGCAACATGTTACACTGAGTGTGATTGGCTTTGCCAAAGAGTGATTAGATTTTTTTATTGTTGGTTGACCAATCAAGGCAGGTGTACTATAAGATTACAGTCCATTCAAGTTACCAGCAAGGGGCACGTTTTGCCACATGGCTACAAATTGTCTAAAGTCAGGTATGGTACTCCAGTGAATACTGTCTACACATCATAATAATGAAATGTACATAGGTGGCTTGTTGCGACCGCTGCATTTGTACAAGGGTTACCATACCTCTGAAGGAGGCAGCTGGCAACCAATTAAATGTATGTAGCTGTCTACTCTTCTTGATAATGGCTCAAGAGCAGCCTTACTTCTGATACTGTAACTACCTCCTTACATGATCAAACCTCCTGGGTAAACTTGATATTCTCTAAATTGTTGAGCGTTCAAACAGACAAAATTTCATGAAAGTCACCGTTCCACCTGACTGCAGTGTAATTACCACTAAGATAATATTTCATGATTCTTTTCCTGAAATTTACTCATGAAATTTTTCACAATGTACTAGTTGGGTCAGTGTTTACATAACAAACATGTGACAAGTGATTTAGCAGACATTTGTTAAAATTTTTAGTTTGGGTAACTATGTTGTCAATTAAATATTACAGCTCAAACAATTTCATGCACTCAAACTGTTACTGTGTTGTCTCATTCGTGCGTGTCAACGTAAGTTAGTGGTATTCAGACTGGTTTGTGAATGACAACTGCTGGATTACACTCAACTAGGCTATTTGATCAAATTGTTGGGGAATCACAAACAATGTGCTCTTGTACTGTTCATTGTTGTCAGAAACTCTCATTGTTTGTTTTATAGTGAATTTGCATTGAACAAATTTTAATGTAATGCCTGGGAAAGATTAAAATAAAAACTCGTACCTACATAACTTATTGCTGGGTACCAGAAATACCAAATTTGTTTCATCTGGTTTTATCTGCATTTCATATCAAACCATGGAGGTTTATATCTCCATGATGTTAATGTAGTAGGATTTTTTACTGTGTAATACAAGAATGGTTGTACATTTCTTGGTTGTTCGCTCTACTCATAAAAACCCAGTACAATGGCTGGCTTCTCTGAGGTCTATATGTGACTGATGTACTCAAGTACTTACCCAGACATTACAGTCTGTTGGTATAAGGTAATCTGTACAGTAATGTTTGTTCACAGAATGTAATTAAACAATTAGTGGCTAAAATAACAGATGGTTATGCAAATATATGTGCTGATTTGTTTCAGTATCATTGGCATGTTTGAAAATACAACTTCGTTTTCAAAAATAATTGCTGTTTTTTTAAATGCCACTTAAAAATCCATGTCATTTCTCACATTAAATCTTGAACAAATAGACTTTTGGGATTTAGAAATAGTCAATGATAAACAAAGGCAAATATAGAGTGTTCACAACATGGACAACATAGAGTATCTTGCGAGCAGGTCAGAGGTCACCTAAACCTGAATGAATGTGGCTAACTGGTGGGAAAAAAAAAATGAAAATTTAAAAGCACTACAGCTTTTTGATATTTTCTTGAGCAAAAAGTTCTATCTAAGAGCAAATAACCCTTGGAAACTAGTTACAATAGTTACAACAGTGATTTTGTGAATTTCTCATTGCAATATACCTTATTCTGGCAGCCATTTTGGATTGGAAATTGGTCTAAAATGCATACTGAGGCTCATAACTTTAAAAATGGTTCTGTGTCTGAATTTCCTGTAGCCAGTCAAAATAAATAAATTAGTAAAATTTCACGAAATTCTTTTATCGAAGATGTGTTAGTCTTGAACCACAGTCAGCCAACATATACGGGAAAATAAAATAAATTAATTTACCAATATTCACTATATGGAGGGCAGCCAATTTAAATGCTGCTTGAAACTAAACTGGTATTTTTCACCCTGAAAAACCTGTCTCTCAGCTTGTATCTATATTTAGTTTCAAGCCGTATTCAAGATGGCTGCCCCCGTACAGTAAATACATGTTGGTAAATTAATAAAATTTTTTTTTAGTATCACTTATATGCCAGCTGACTGTGCCTTGAATGTTCTCAAGATATGTCTGGCGTCTTAACA